CATTTTGGGTGACTGTTGGGACCGCAACTTGTTAACAAAAAAACAAAAGCTCGAGGCGCAATCTTTGCATTTTTTCGTCTCTAAAATAATGGAAATAATGATGGAAATAAATGTGCAGAGTCACACAGTACGATGATAAAGTATGGATGTGTAAATAGGAATGGATGTGTTTAGTTATGAATTTAGTTTTATTTATCTTTTTTTATATGTATCCATGTGAGAGAGATGAGAAAAAGAGAGACATTTAAGATAGATAAGAGCGAGAGATTTGAAGACAGACTTATATATGTACAAATAAAGAGAGAGAGAGACAGACAGACACAGACAGAGAAAGAGAGACAGACACAGACACAAACACAGAGAGAGAGACAGACAGACAAAGAAAGAGAAAGAGAGATAGACAGACAGAGAAAGAGAAGGAGACAGAGACAGAGACAAACATACAAATAGAGACAGGGCGAAGAAGAAAGAATGTAGCAAGAATTAGGCAAGCACACAAACTGACTGCGTGTCCACTTCCCTAGAGCAAAAATGAAGCAAAAACCCACATTTAAAATTTCTTTTGTCCGGCCTTGCGTGAGAACTTCCAGTCAGAGGGAAAAAAGTTTGAACATTACTAGAAAGTGATTACTGTCAGCTCATTTACGAAGACGAGAAGAGAAGAAAATGACGTTGTAAATAAATAAGTATATGTTATAGTGTATATATAATATATGTCTGTATATATATATTGTATATATATAATATATATATATATATATATATATATATATATATATATATATATATATATATATATATATATATATATGTATATTGTATATATATTATATATTATGTGTATCTATCTATCTGTCTATCTATCTATCTATCTGTCTGTCTATATACATCTATATATCTATATCTACATCTACATCTATATCTATATATTGTGTGTGTACGTGTGCTTGTATGATTGTATGTTTGAGACAAAAACGATCACACACGCATTTCACGCAGAGCCCTCTCTCGTCGCCTCATCCAGACGATTGTAATTACACATGTGGTTGCGTGATCGCCATGTTTGTGTTCGGTGGTCTCATGGCTGCCTCTCACGGCGACAATATGTATAGATATAAATGTATATCCAAATCTACATATCGCTTTGTGTACGTGTTTATATATATATATATATATATATATATATATATATATATATATATATATATATATATATATATATATAATATATACATATATACATATATACATATATACATATATACATATATACATATATACATATATACATATATACATACATACATACATACATACATACATACATACATACGTACGTACGTACGTACATACGTACATACATACATACATACATACATACATACATACATACATACATACATACACGCCCTAGAAAATAATATAGATACCGAATCTCATTTTCACAGGACATGAGGCGCAAAGACTGGAACGAAATTAAAGCAAAGGCTTATGTTGGCCTCGTTCTCTCCCTCCCCCCCACACCCCCCCCTTACCACCCCACCCAACACCCCCACCTCATCCCCCCATCACCCCCTCCCCCCCTCCCCCCAGTCTATCACCCCCACCCCACACTCCTCGACGGGCCGTGTATGTGTATAAACGAGCGTTTCGGATAACGTATCCGATATCCTACCTCCTCTCGCCCCCCCCCCCCCCCCCAACCCACAACCCACAACCTCCCCCCCGCCCCCAACCTCACCCCCCTCTCTACCCCTCCCCTTCCCCCCTTTCCACCCCTCCCTTACGTAACCTCCCCCCCTCTCCCCCCCTCCCCTCCCTTGCGAAACCTCCCCCCCTTCTCCACCCCAACCTTCCCCCCTTCTGCACCCCTCCCTTGCGAACACGGCTGCAGAATGCGTGTTCGGCAGTCGGCGGCGGCGGTGGCGGCGGCGGCGGCAGCGGCAGCGAGCTCGTAAATCATTGTCCCGGAGCTGTTCAACTTCCTCGGAACTCGGCAGCGACTGTTCGGCCTCCCTAATTAGTCCCGTCCTGTTGCCTCAGAACCGGCGCAGAGTAATCAGTCTCGGGAAGGGAATGAATCGGTGTTAGATTTCTGGGGGCTGGTGGGGTGTGGGGGGTAGGGATGGGGGTGTTTGGGATGGTGTGTGTGGGTGTGGGGTGGTGGGTGGGGTGGGTTGTTGGTGGTGTTATCTGCGCAGGAGCTTCTTACATGGGGGGGGGGGGTGCAAGGAGGGAGGGGGGGTGAGGTTCGCATAAATCAACGTCTTGCACGCGCACGCACGCACACGTAAAGGTAGGTACGTATACACTCGCTCACTCGCTCGTTCACTCTCTCTCACTTACTCACTCGCTTATAGTCATTCATTCTCACTATCACTCTCAATCTCACTGTCACTCTCACTCCTTCAGGATCTCTCTCTCTCTCTCTCTCTCTCTCTCTCTCTCTCTCTCTCTCTCTCTCTCTCTCTCTCTCTCTCTCTCTCTCTCTCTCTCATTATCTATCTATCTATTTATCTCTCTCTCTCTCTCTCACACACACACACACACACACACACACACACACACACACACACACACACACACACACACACACACACACACACACACACACACACACCTACCTCCTCTCACCACCACATTCACCGGCACACAGTTTCACACTTTTACTATTTCACACTCGCACGCTTTAACACAACAAATGGCCGTGTTAAGATGGGCATTCAGTTACAAACAAGATTAAAGCCGCTCATGAATAAATGATTTAGATAAAAAGATAGTAATATTGAATTTCTCTCATGCAGAATATTTAAGACCCACATAAATAATACGTATCATTTAGGTCAGTGCACTCCAAAGACAGACAGACAGAGACAGACAGACAGAGGTAGACAGACAGATAGAGGTAGACAGACAGATAGACAGTCAGAAGGAAAGGGAAGGAGAGGGATAAGGGAACTACGAACATATGTTGCACATGTAAATGCGTAAATATCTGCAATAAATATATCTTCTCTCTCTCTCTCTCTCTCTCTCTCTCTCTCTCTCTCTCTCTCTCTCTCTCTCTCTCTCTCTCTCTCTCTCTCATTCTCTCATTCTCTCATTCTCTCATTCTCTCTCATTCTCTCTCACTTATTCCTCTTTTTCTCTCTCATTTCTCTTCCCGGCCTTTATTCCCTTAATAAACCACACAGACCATATCGTATTCGGAAGACGGAGTTTTATGAAAGCACTCGAGATTAAGTTCACAAAATGAGTTTGTCGAGCTGCGTTGTCTGTCTTTTTTTTTTGGGGGGGGGGGGGGGGAGGGGGGAGAAATAATGGGCGAGTTTGAGGTGGTTTTCTTTTAACTACCGTGTGTGTGTGTGTGTGTGTGTGTGTGTGTGTGTGTGTGTGTGTGTGTGTGTTTGTAATGTCGCTTTTAGTCATTTGTATTTGTTTTTTTTTTGTCAGAGGTTGTATTAATGATTAAAGGTTTGTTTATTTATTTGTGTATGTGGGTGAGTGCGTGCGTGTGTTTGTGTCTTTGCCTGTATGTGTGTGTGTGTGTGTGTGTGTGTCTGTGTGTCTGTGACTCTGTGTCTCGTTTTCTTTGTCAAAAAAGTTAACAGCAAAGAGCAAGCTACTTAATATTGAGATCATTTCTGACTGCTCTCGTTAAACTCACATTATTTTCACTGTTTATATTTTTTATACAGTGAGTACATTTTACAAAAAAAAAAAAAAAAAAAAAAAAAATGTGGTACATTTATCACTTTACTTTTATCGTGTTTTACAGCGACTGCATGACACTCCGATGAACTTTTTTATGATTTTTATTTTAAGTGTTAGTATATCCTTTAACTACTAACATTGACTTGATTTTCGTCAGTTTATTTCACAAGATGTTTTAATGTAGTTGTTTTATTTTTTATGTTTGTTGCTCTTGTTTTTGTTGCAGTTTTTTTTTGTTATTCAATTATTTATTTGTGTCTACTTCTAATTTATATTTCTCTCTCTCTCTCTCTCTCTCTCTCTCTCTCTCTCTCTCTCTCTCTCTCTCTCTCTCTCTCTCTCTCTCTCTCTCTCTCTCTCTCTCTCTCTCTCTCTCTCTCTCACTCATTCACTCTCCCTCTCTCCCTCTTTTTCTCTCCCTCCATCCCTCCCTTGCGTGCGAAAACACACATCCTCACACACACACACAAAATGAAAATAAATAATGATTATAATAATAATAATAATAATAATAATAATAATAATAATGATAATACGAAATAAAGAAAAATAAACGAACAGATAGAAATCACCTCAGGATCGACGGATGGACTTGCTTGCAGGCGTGCGGGCGTGCGGGGGGGGGGGGGCGACCTCACCCTTCGACTAACTAACCCAGGACGAGCTTCCGAGGCCTCCCTCCTTCTTGCCCTTCGCTAATGAGGCTCCGAGAAATCCTGCGCGGTGGTCAGGGCATAGGATAAGGGGGGGTGGGGAGGGGGGGGGGCGGGGGAGGGAGAGTGAATTTTTGCTGGAATCTGATGCTGGGTTTTTAAGTGGGGGGGAGGGGGTGGGGGGCGGTGTGGGGAGGAGGAGGGAGGTTGAGGGGGGGTAAAAGGGCGTGTTCTGTGGGGTTTAATGGGCGGGGTTGATGATTAGGGGAGTGGGGGGGGGAAGTTGGGGAAGAGGTGGATAGTGTAGGGGGGGGTGTTATAAGTGGGGGTAAGAGGAGTTGTGGCTAGGGGAGGGGGTCGTGGGTAGGTGGGGGAGGGTAAGGTGTTAAGATTAATATGTTTTATTTATTTATTTTTTCTTTTCTTTTCTTTTTTCTTTTGTTCTAATTATTTATTTGTTTGTTTATTTATTTTTTTGAGGGGGATTAAGGTAGGGGGGAGTTGGGGGGGGTTGATGCTGCAAGGACTATGGGTATGGGCATCATATTGCGCTCAGGTTGCATTTGTTGTTATGAATGGAAAAGTCTGGTTATTGTTGTGATGGTTGTGGAGGGGGGGGTATGGTAGGGGTACTGGTTTCTTTTGTGGCTGTTTTTGTTAATGTGGATTGTTGTTGTTGTTTTTGTTGTTGCTGTTGTTCTTCCTCTTCTTCTTTTTCTTCTTCTTCTTCTTCTTCTTCTTCTTCTTCTTCTTCTTCTTCTTCTTCTTCTTCTTCTTCTTCTTCTTCTTCTTCTTCTTCTTCTTCTTCTTCTTCTTCTTCTTCTTCTTCTTCTTCCTCTTCTTCTTCCTCTTCTTCTTCCTCTTCTCTTCTTCTTCTTCTTCTTCTTCTTCTTCTTCTTCCTCTTCTTCTTTCTCTTCTTCTTCCTCCTCCTCTTCTTCTTCTTCTTCTTCTTCTGCTTCTTCCTCCTCCTCTTATTCTTATTCTTCCTCCTAGATAATAATAAGAATATGATGAAATATATGTTTTTTTAAGAAATGCGTAAATAGAACAGAAGAAACGGAATTAGTGGAAATCAATAAAACAATAGAGCAGATAAGAAAGAAGATTTATTAGAAAAAATCTATATAATGATTAATTTAGTGAACAGCGTTCATAACAAAAACAAAATAACAGATAACAGCATAACAAATATAGAAAATAAAAAGAGAGAGAGAGAGAGAAAGATAGAGAGAGAGAGAAAGGGAGAGAGAGAGAGAGAGAGAGAGAGAGAGAGAGAGAGAGAGAGAGAGAGAGAGAGAAGGAGAGAGAGAGAGAGAGAGAGAGAGAGAGAGAGAGAGAGAGAGAGAGAGAGAGAGAGAGAGAGAGAGAGAGAGAAGAGAGACAAAAGACTCAAGAAATCTGAAGACGATATTAGCACTGAGTTGGAAATATAAAATTGTGTAAGAGTGTGGAAATTTCTTTTTTTTTTTTTTTTTTTTTCTTTTTTTTCGTATAAAGTCAGGGGGACGAGAGAGAGAGAAAAGAAAATATCGCTGATTCAAATTCCGGTTGGCAACGTCGTCTTATTGGGCGCAGATCGAATCCGTGATAAAAAAAGGAAGAGAGAGAGAGAGGGAGAGAGAGAGAGAGGGAGAGAGGGAGATGGAGAGAGAGAGAGAGAGAGAGAGAGAGGGAGAGAGAGAGAGAGAGAGAGAGAGAGAGGGAGAGAGAGAGAAAGGGGGGAGGGGGGCGAAAGTAGAGAAATAGAGATAAGGAGGAACCCTCTAACGCGTTGGAGGTGACGGTAAATTTACACGTGTCTGTGTGCTTGTGCATACATGCATACATAAATACATACATACATACATACATACATACATACGAACATACGCACATATATACGCACATACATCTATATACATACATCTATATACATACATACATACATACATACAAACACATACACAAACATACACACACATACATACATACATGCGTGCGCGCACGCATACAAACAAACAAACAAGCAAACAAACTCACAAACACTCAAACCCATTCAAACAATAGATTGACAAAACATGTGTGTCTAAATCCTCCCCCCCCCCCCCGTCTCCTCCACACTCATAGTTCATATCTAAGTGCATGAGTGCCTGCCTGCCTGTATGCCTACATGCGCACGGCTCTATATCAATATGCTTCCGTGTCTCTGTGTTTACAAATCTAAGTTCATGCGCGTGTGTGTGTTGTCTCCGCGAGTTCCCACGAGGCACTGCGTTTGACGAAGTGAGAACCGAGGTTTATGAGGAGAGCAAGTGAATGCCATTGTCAAGCTCTGACTTGCTTTGACTTGCTCTAACTTGCTTTGACTTGCTTTGATTTGCTTTGACTTGCTTTGATTTGCTCTGACTTGCTTTGATTTGCTCTGACTTGCTTTGATTTGCTTTAACTTGCTCTAACTTGCTTTGACTTGCTCTGACTTGCTTTGATTTGCTCTGACTTACTCTGATTTGCTTTGACTTGCTTTGATTTGCTCTGACTTGCTTTGACTTGCTCTAACTTGCTTTGATTTGCTCTGACTTGCTTTGATTTGCTTTGATTTGCTCTGATTTGCTCTGATTTGCTTTGATTTGCTCTGACTTGCTTTGACTTGCTTTGATATGCTCTGACTTACTCTGACTTCCTTTGATTTGCTTTGGTTTGCTTTAACTTGCTCTAACTTGCTCTGACTTGGTTTGACTTGCTCTGACTTGTTTTGACTTGCTTTGACGTGGATTCGCACGTGCTTGCTTGCTTGGCTGTACGTGAAGACTGTGAATCAGGTGAGAGCTGTCACGGGCGAGCATTAGTGTCGCCGCAAGCACCATATGCGTTCTTTAAGGAAATCCATTATTGACGATGACTGGTGTTATCTGCGTCAGAAAAAAAGGAATGGAATGAGGCGAGAAAAAAGAGGGAAATTATGCCGTCACGGGAAGCAGGCGCCGGAGAGAGGGAGAGAGAGAGAGAGACAGAGACAGAGACAGACAGACAGACAGACAGACAGACAGACAGACAGACAGAGAGACAGAGAATGAGAGTAAGAGATAGACAGAATGAGTAAGTAAGAGATAGACAGAATGAAAGAGATAGAGAGAAAGAGAAAGATAATGAGAGTACGAAAGAGAGAATAAAGAAATAAGACAATCAAGAAAAGAAATAAAAGGAAAGAGACAAACAGACAAACAGACAGACAGAGAGAACAACAGACTTAGACGACTTGAGGAAAAGCGTCGAGAAATGACAGAGGAGAAAGCAAGGTCGCCGTTGTAACCATTGAAACTCTTTTCCTATGTAAATTCTGGCTTCCATATATCTCTCTCGGCCATTATCTGATATTGTTTTGTATAATTTATTGACCAGATTTACTCATGCCGTTATTTACGTCTCTCTTTTTTTTTTCAACTGGTTATTTATTGCCTTAATATCCGGTGTATTTTTGGGCAATTTTCACTCTTCCTCCCTCCCTCCTCTCTCCCTCCTTCGCCGACTTTCCCTCCCCTCTACCCCTCTCCCATACCCTTCCGACTCTCCCGCCCTCTCTCCCTCTCACACCTTCTTCTTCTCTTCTTCTTCTTCTTCTTCTTCTTCTTCTTATTATTATTATTATTATTATTATCATTATCATTATTCTCCCGCCTCTCTCTCTCTCTCTCTCTCTCTCTCTCTCTCTCTCTCTCTCTCTCTCTCTCTCTCTCTCTCTCTCTCTCTCTCTCTCTCTCTCTCTTCTCTCTCTTTCTCTCTCTCTCTCCCTCTCTCTCCCTCTCTCCCCCTCTCTCCCTCCCTCTCCCCTCCCTCTCCCTCCCTCCCTCCCTCCCTCCCTCCCTCCCTCCCTCCCTCCCCCTCTCCCTCCCTCTCTCCCTCCCTCTCCCTCTCCAACAAATATGTTTATTTGTTTGTCACGCGTGTGTTTCACAGCAGGAGAATGGTTGTGTGTGAGGGGGGGGGGGGTGATGCCGGAAGGGGGAGGGGACGGGGGAGGGGGGAGGAAGGAGGGGGGGGAGACAGCTGGAATCCTTCCCTGCCCGAGATAGATAATCTGAGCATGTGTGATGTATTCCATTCGTCCTCACGCCGCCGGCCGCTGTCACCCTCCGCCCAGCGCCCCTTCCTCTTGCCCACGTCGCCTTGGCCTCTCTCTCTCTCTCTCTCTCTCTCTCTCTCTCTCTCTCTCTCTCTCTCTCTCTCTCTCTCTCTCTCTCTCTCTCTCTCTCATCTCTCTCTCTGTCTCTCTCTCTCTCTCTCTCTCTGTCTCTCTCTCTCTCTCTCTCTCTCTCTCGCTCGCTCTCTTTCTCTCTCTTTCTCTTACTGTCTCTCTCTCTCTCTCTCTCTCTCTCTCTCTCTCTCTCTCTCTCTCTCTCTCTCTCTCTCTCTCTCTCTCTCTCTCTCTCTCTCTCTCTCTCCCCTCTCTCTCTCTCTCTCTCTCTCTCTCCCCTTCTTCTTCTTCTTCTTCTTCTTCTTCTTCTTCTTCTTCTTCTTCTTCTTCTTCTTCTTCTTCTTCTTCTTCTTCTTCTTCTTCTTCTTCTTCTTCTTTCCTCCCTCCTCCCTCCTCCTCCCTCCTCCCTCCTCCTCCTATCTCCTCTTCCCGCCTCTCTCTCCGCCTTCTCGTTCACTTCCTTCCTCCTACTTCACTCTTTCACCTTCCTCTTCATCTCACCTCTTTGTCTTCCTTTTCCCCACCTCTCCTCCTCCTCCTCCTCCTCCACTTTGTATTTTCTTCATTGCTTCTTCCCCCTCCTCTCTCTTTCTCTCTTTCTGCTTCCCTCCCTCCCCCTGCTCCCCCTTCCCATTTCTCTCCATCTTTCTCTTTCACTCCATCTCTCTTTCTCTTCATCTCTCTTTCTCTCCATCTCTTTTATTTCTCTCCATCTCTCTTTCTCTTCATCTCTCTTTCTCTCCATCTCTTTTATTTCTCTCCATCTCTCTTTCTCTCCATTTCTCTTTTCTCTCTCTCTATCTATCTCCTTCTCTTTCTCCTTCTCTTTCTCACACATGTTTGACATAGATTCCAAGTCCGCAGAGAGAAAGAAAGGAAGAAAGAAAGAGAGAAAGAAAAATGAATAGATCAATAAAACCGACATCAGATCTTTGCATTGTTATCCCGTTTGAGGTGTTGATCATTGCAAATTGCAGAGGACAATTCTCAACTTGATATCTCCCTGTGCTCTCCTCTCTCCCTCTCTCTCTCTTTCGCTTTCTCGTTCGCTATCCCCTTCTCCCTCTCTGACTCTCTCTTTCTCTTTTGCTTTCTCGTTCGTTAGCTCTTTATCTTTCTCTGACTCTCTCTTCCTCTCTTTCTCTTTCGCTTTCTCTCTCTATTTCTCTCTCTTTCTCTCTCTATTTCTCTCTCTTTCTCTCTCTCGCCCCCCCTCTCTCTCTCTCTCTCTCTCTCTCTCTCTCTCTCTCTCTCTCTCTCTTTCTCTCTCTCTCTTTCTCTCTCTCTCCCTCTCTCTCCCCCTCTCTCTTTCTCTCTCTTCCATTTTCTCTCACTCTCTTTCTCTCCCATTTTCTCTCTCTCTCTCTCCTCTCTTCCTCATTTTCTCTCTTCCTCATTTTCTGTCTCTTCCTTATTTTCTCTCTTTTCTTCATTTTCTCTCTCTCTCTCTCTCTCTTTTAGGGAAAGCTTTATTTATTTAATTATTATTAATTAATTGATGATAATTGACGACGATGACGATGTTGAGAGACACAGAGAGAGAGGGAGGAGGGAGAGTGAGGGGGGAAAGAAAGAGAAAGAGAGGAAAAAGAGAAAAAAAAATAGAGAAAAGAAGATAAATGTCCAAAAATATTTACTTCCAACTCCAATGTTGATCGTGAAGTGGATAAGGATTCTCATTTCTTCATTTTTTTTTTTTTCAATTTCTCCGCAATTTATCTCTTCGTATTTCATGAATGGACTTGATGAATGTATGAACGAGTCGTTTCTTTCTGAAATGACACCGGAAATGCTGCTTTAGATGATATCAGACAGTTACGAAAGATGGAGAAGAGGGGGGGGGGGCAGGAAGAGGGGCCAGAAGGAAAGAGAGGAATAGAGAAAGAGTGTGTGTGTGAGAGAGAGAGTGAGAGAGAGAGAGAGAGAGAGAGAGAGAGAGAGAGAGAGAGAGAGAGAGAGAGAAAGAGAGTGGAGGGAAAGAGATAAAGTGAGAGGGAAAGAAGAGAATAAGAGAGAGAGAGAGAAAGAGAAAGAGAAAGAGAGTGGAGGGAAAGAGAGATAGAGTGAGAGGGAAAGAAGAGAATAAGAGAGAGAGAGAGAGATAGAGTGAGAGGGAAAGCAAAGAATGAGAGAGAGAAAGAAAGAAAGTGAAAGAATAGAGGCAAGGAGTCTTACAATAAACAAGTCTTGCTCCGAGCACTTTCCAGAACAATCTTCCTTCTTTTCGCCTCACACCCTCCTCCTCCAACTCCTCCTCCTCCTCCTCCTCCTCCTCCTTATCCCTTCCCTCCCACCTCCTTTTCTTCCCTCCTCCTCCTCCCTTCCCGCCTCCCCCTCCTCCTCCTCCTCCTCCTCCGCCCTTCCCTCCCCCCCTCCCCCTCCCCCTCGGCCTCGTTCTCCCTGCCTCCTCCTGTTCCTCCTTCTTTGTGTGTGCTTCCTCAT